GAGTCCGGTTCGACTCGGCGTTTTTTTAAACACTGGGTGGGACTATAAATTTTGTTCAACCTTCCTTCCCTCGTAGTTTTGACATTTTGGAGGGAAATGTTTTTGGGTACCATACAGTGACTTTTGGAAGGAAATGTTTTTGAATAGTGTAGGTGTAGATTTTTTGGAGGGAAATACTTTTGAATCATATACGTGGTGGGAAATTTTAGTATATATTTTACATGGGGATGCGGTTTGTATAGAGCCGAGGCTCTAAACAATCAATGTAAAGCGCACCTTCAACATTGGAAATCTTTGTGGTAGTTTTAAAATATATTTTCATCTGTAATTATAAATTTAAAGCTTCAAAAACAATGTACATCTAGCAGATGTATGAAAACTTGAAAATCTTGAAAATTGATAGTCAAAAAATGCATTACAATATGCACTATTTCCAAAACTTGAAATCTTTTTTTTTATTTGTATATTACAGTATGCACTATACCTTATTAAAGTGTATATAACTTTTGTATTATCAATTCCAATGTGTGAAAAATCTTCAAGCCCGTTGAATGGAGGGCTCATCACTGTTGAAAAATCTCAAAGCCTGTTGAATGGAGAGCTCATCACTGTTGAAAAATCTCAAAGCCCGTTGAATGGAGAGCTCATCACTGTTTTTCAAATGGGCGTGGTTTGTATAGAGCTGAGGCTCTAAATATTCAGAGTAAAACACCCCTTCAAATAGTATCGAGAAATATGGTTTCAATATTGAAAATCTTTGTGATAGCCTTAAAATATATTTTCATCTCTCATTATAAAATTTCAAGCTTAAAAAATAATGTAGATTGAGCAGATTTTATGAGGACTTGAAAATTGATGGTCAAAAAATATATTATAAGATGCACTATTTCCAAAACTTGAAATCCATTTTTTTTCTCATGTTCATGCATCTTGATGTCGAGATGATCAATTTGAGGATATTTGAGCGTCAAAACAACATCTTCTAGTGAAAGTTTTGATGTGCGCTCTAATTTGATTGTTTAGAACCTTAGGCTCTACATAAACTTTTTCCTTTTCAAATTGAAGTATATTTTACTTTTATGTCCTTTCTCTAGTGGGCAATCTTTCTGTGTTCCCTTACCACATAAAACTTATATGTTTCTCCTTGTCCAAGAGTCAATTTTAAATGGAGGGTTAAGATTGCCTCGATCACAATGTCATGTCTCTAAACTATTTTATTTTTACCTTTTTTTTATATAAAGCATTTTGACTCCAAAATTTGAGCCTCCAATCCTCTATTAAACTCACACTTGTAAAAATATTCTCAATAAAACAAAATAACTAAAATGCCTTTGAAAGTTTTAAGGGGTATTTCGATCATTATATTCTATCGAAAATATATTTTTAATATTTTTTTATAAGTGTGCTTCAATGAAAAGATGGTATGCACCAAATTTCATATTCATACAATTTGTATTAAAAGAATTAAAAATAGAAATACTATGAGGCGTCATATTTAGAAAATTGTATTAAAAGAATTAAAAATAGAAATACTATGAGGCGTCAGATTTAGGATCAAATAGTGAGTGGCTCACTTGATAAAAATTAGACGGCTAGATGGCAGGGGAAGCTCAGATCTTCTCTGCTGAAGGTGAAGTATAGAAACCTTTCCCTTCTCGACTTCCTTCTTAAAGACCCTTTTCATTCTTCCCCTCTCTTAGAGGTTATGTGAGTCACTCAATTTGCCTCACCTCCTAGGATTCATGCTTGGCTTCAACGACACCCTTCACTCATAAGAAGAACATGACATTCGCCATTGCCACAACTGCAAATGATGACCATTCTGGACAAAGGAAAGCTTCATTAACATGCTTTTCAGACATACAAATCTTTTGGTTTTCGCAATATGCGTATTTGTGAACTCAATACCCTAAAAGTCGATTTGACTGCCAACTCTACTGGAGCGTGGAAAGCTAACTAAAGAGGGAAATGTCAATAGGAATTGCAACTCTTCTAATGTAAAAAACCCTAACTACTAAAGGGAGAAAAGCCCAATTTTCCAATCTATAAAGAAACAAGGTATTATTATTTTTAATACCAATAACCCTCTGACTAAGAAGGAACAATGAAACCCTCTCTGAAAACACTCTTCTTTTAGCTCGTGTTTCTTTTTGTTGTTCAGTCATGAAGGTGTCGTCTTCAAGGTTTCATTTATTTTAAAAAGTATCACTAAAATTACAATAAAAAAATACATTTTTTCCTTAATTCTTTTTAAGCCGGTCTTCAAATGCATGCAAGAAGCCATTAAGTGGTGGGTTTTGGATGAAAGTGAAGATCTTGGGAAGGTTTGTGGATACTGGATTTGGGTCTTGTTTCCAAGAGCTTATAACAAACAGAACGGCGTCAAAGGGATTATTTCTCAAAAGATTCGATAAAATAACTTTTATACACGGTAAGACTGTATTGAAAATACATAGGATCATTCCCCTTATAATACACCCTATAACAGGGGAAACCGAAAGTTGCTATTGCTTTCCATGAGGATTTTGGGCACGGTTCTGATTAGTATTCATACAATAATTAAGCTCTATCCCCCTCTCAGGACACGCACAAACCAAAGTTCAGCATGTAAAGAAGTAAACACCAAACCCCAGCTCAACTAGTTTGAGTGCAAGAAGAGGGACTAATCAATTATTCATGGCAAACTGACTTAAGGGGATTCATTGATTGCAATTGCGCAATGCAAACTGTAACTGATTGTAGTCTAATATACAATTTGAAAGCATGCACAAGCAGACTCTTGAACCTTGCTTGAGTCCTCTTTTGCTTCAGCTGTAAACTTGGGGTGTTGTGCTCCTTGCTCGTCCAGCCCCATTCTCCATATCACCAGACATGGCAGGGTTGCTAATTTTCCAAACCCGAAAAAGACAAAAAATAAAATAATAAAGAGATTAGGATCCATGTTTTAATTTATTCTCATGCAAATCAATCATAAAAATGGAAACAAAAAAGGGGGGAAAGGTTGTCAAGAACAGAATACTACAAGATAAAAAAGAGTCCCTCTCATGGATACTTCTATGGTGTTCATGGGGTCAAATTAGTCAATCAAGCCCTTCTTCCCTACAAAAAAAAAAAACCAAAAAAACAAAAAAAAAATCCCTCCCTTCTTTTAACGAGAATGAGCTTGGCTAAATTCTATGTTTGAGTCGCACCACTGACCGATCCAGAAAAACAATAATAAATAACCAAGTTAACTCTGCAATAGTACCTCCTGTAAAGAGAGCTGTCTGCAAGTAATCTATTGAACTCCCTCTTTTTTTGCTTAAATGTGAGTTTCGCATTTTGCAGTAGTACTTGTTCCCTCTGCAAATCTTCGATGAGTCTTTCTTTTTCCCAAAACATCAGTCTAAACTTCTCTTCAGCCTCAACGACCTCTGTTGGTTCATCTACAAATTCTGAGGTCAATGGAAATCCCACATCAACTTCTTCTCTGCATTTGATTTGATAAAAGGACAAACACAAAGATAATTAAAGTGAAAATGAATTCCCATTGTCTTAAAACACATTCAATATATTTGTAAGCTAGAAAATAGCAGCACCCATATCATATTTACAAAGGTTAAAAAAAAAAAAAGTGGAATCTGACAAGTAGAATGGGTTTTAAGAATCACAGAACCACTGCAAGTTTTGCATTAAAAAGAAAAAATTGAGAGAGAGAGTACAAGCTAGTATAAAAAATCTATGGAACCCAAATGAAAGAAATGTGCAGTTCAGCCTTCACTTCCTCAAATTAATTCCAGAGAGAGAGAGAGAGAAGCTTTTGGGAGCATAACGTAGTATCAAAATCCTACGACACCCAAATGGAAGATATGTGCAGTACAGCCTTCATTTCTTAAAATTACTTTGTCGTGTGTGTGTGTGTGTGTGAGAGAGAGAGAGAGAGAGGAGGAGAGAG